AGTATCTGGGGAAACTGAGGCAGACCCAGAGTCGCCCACTTTCCTTCCCTTGCCATTGCCTCAATCTCCCTCCTTCACACTTCCCAGTCTCTCCTCTCCCCACCTGCTTGTCCCGGTGCCAGGGCACGCCGGGGCACGATAGGTGGGATCAGCTTGCAAGCAGGGGATGGTGCTGCTCAGCAGCAGCCGACAGCGAGGAATTCAGCTCGGCAAACGAGTCCCCCGCAGCTGCTCCACCCTGGCATGGAGCAGGACACTGTCACCCTCCATGCGGGGCCAGGGCGTCTCCCAGATGGGTTTGGGATGGTTGGGGATCCCCTCGCCCCAAGGTCCAGGGACGATGTGCAGGGAGTGACATGACCAGGCAGATAAGATGCTCGTTGGCTCTGCTTGCTCAGCTGCATCGTTTCCCCCGTCACCATCTCTTGCATGGGCACAATATTAATTAGTGACACTGACAATGGCTGGAAGGGTGGGGACTGCCCCTAGATGTGGCTCTGGAGCTCTGCCCCGATGCTGCCTGCACCCCAGCAGCACTGCATAGCCAGGGTCTGTGCATACCCCAGGACAGGCAGGGGCCAGAGCTCTGTGTTCTTGGGAGGGAGACACAAGCTGGGTCCTCTGGTAGAGCTGGTGGATCACCCCCAACGATCCATGTCCAGGGCTGACACGATGTCTCACTGCCCAGCCTGAGCTGAGCTCCTGCTGCCTAACCACAAATTCCCCTTTAAAAGCCACTCAAAGACCACTTCATCTCAGCTTAATACATACTTAATTATAATTAGGTTAGTACAGCTGCCAAAAAAGAGACCAAAGGCTTCAAAACACTCTGGGTAAGGCTCCTGAGAAACATGTTTCCTGGAGTCCTGCTGGGCTGACATGACTTTGTACAGTCTTGGCAACCTCCCTTTGCAAAGGCAGGTTGGGGGTGCCAGGAAGCCCCCCAGCACTCACTGTGCCCTGTCCCATCTTGAGAGGACACTCTGCTTCCACCCAAAGCCTGAATGGCTGTTTGCATGATCCTCTTTGCCCAGAGCCATGGATAAAGCCAGCCTTGCTGGCTGAGGCTCCACAGATCCCCCACTTCTTCCTGAAGGGAACACGGTGCTTTCTGGACTTTATTATTGTTTGTTATTTGTTTATTATTATTTTTTTATTATTTTTATTGTTGAACAGAGAAAGCAAGAAAACATCCACTTCATCTACAATTCTGAAGCAGAGCTTGCCCCAGGACTGCTGCGCCCCATGAGCCCACTCATCACTGCAAGGGAAACACTGGAGAAGAGAAACTTATTCGGCAAAAGGAGTTACTAGGTGGTAGGAATTCAGAAGCTCTGTGGACCCACATTTCAATAATCCTTCACCTTAGGCAACTGAAATACACCCTGTTCTGCCTGCCCTAGCCCCAGCCTCATCCACACGCCCTCCCTCTCTCCCTGAAGCTCTGCCCAGGTTCCACTTTTACCTCAACATCAGCTTAAGAAGATCAAATTCCTATTCACGGCTCTATTCTGAATCAGTGGGGAGGAAAATTGCCAGCAAGACAATCAGCATTTTAGCTTCTCAGCTTCTCAGGTCAAGTATAAAATTTTTATCTCTGCTTCTCCTACATGGTAGAAAGTCTCTACGTGGGCTATTTCTCATGCTAGAGCAGGTCCCACACTGAACTGACATTAAGAATGTTCATTATGCCCAACAAACATTTCTGTAACATAGGTCTCTGCTCCAACTAGTTATTTCAAAGGAACATTAGTTATTTTAAATGGACACTGCTCACTGTGCCTCAACCACTGCCATGTCCCTGCCCCTGCCAAGGCTGTGGTTTCACTGTCCTGGCTGCTTTAGCTTTGCTCTAGGCAATCTCTGGCCACTGCCAAAACATGGATCAGTTTCCATCTCCATCTGGGTTCCCCTGGCACCAGGCTTGTGTTGGAGTTTTTACTAAAGCTGATCAAACCAGTGAGTAGCAGAATAAAAAAATGTTGAGGTCTAAACTCGAGAAAGGGACCTTGCTGGTATCACTTGCCATCTCCCCAAACAGAGACCAGATGCTTCTGAATCAACAAGGGTTTTCTCGCAAAGTAACAGCAGGCAGCTCATGGTGCCCAGGACTCCTTCGAGCTGCTGCACCAGGCAGTGCTGGTCAGGCAGGGAAGCCCTGCTCAGTCCTTGCTTCAGCTCTGCTGCTTCTCTGCAGGAAGCAAAGCAACTTTTCTTTACTCCCTGCAGAGCCACAGCACTTGCAAGAAAAAGTAGAAATAATAAAAAAGACATGTCGAGGATGACTGATGGCTGTGGAGGTCGGGTTGCACCCACGGAGCCTTCCCTGCGTGTCTTCCCTTCTGCTCAGTTTGCTGCCAATTACCCATGAACGAGAGCAGGGACAGGCAGGAGCAGGATCCTTGGTGCAGGAAGGAAGAAGTCACCACAGGGCAGCTGGTGGCATCCTTTTGCCCAAAGGACAGCTAGGGTCATCAGTGCTGAGAAACCACTTGGGATCATCAAATCTGGGTTATCTCCAAGCTGCACAGTTGTGGAAGTCAGCAAGCCCCAAAGCTTCCTTTCACAGGGAGTCCAGGGGCAGCTGGAGCAGAGCCACTAAACCCTGTGCAAAATGGGGGGTGTGGAGATGGGTCCTTTGGGGTAAGGATGCTTGCCTGGAGTCCCAAACAGCTTTAAGGAGGGAGACAGGAGCTGAGCTGTGTGGTTTCTTAGGTGAGTGCAGACCCTGGGTTCCTCGAGAACATTTGTCTCCAGAGACCAGGGAGAGCAGGCTTTGAGCTGGCCGGAGGGTAGGGGGTTGCTGAATTACTCTGTAAGTCAGGCCTACAAATACTCTATATAAAAAGAATAGTCCTAAAAAGAGTAGTAAGTTCTTTGCAAAAGGTGGACTTGCTCTGAGGTCCCCTGAGATCGAAGTGTGTGCTGGCTTCTGCTGCACCACTGAAGATGTGCAGGACAAACACTGCCAATTTTTGTCATACAGTTTACTGCCCCATGCCTTCCCAAAGCCCCACCAACTCAGCAGAAGTCTCTCTGGATGAAACATTTTACTGAATAAACCTGGTGTCCTCATTACCTCCTCCCCATGCAGATCCGCAGGAAAGTTTGTACAAGCAACTGCCTCCTCCAAGCTAAAACCTGTTTTTTTCACCTCACATGTCCCATATCTCAGCCTGGCACAGTCCTCCAGATCCAAGAAACTGGAGTTACACTGTTGGTGCCCAGAAACATAGAGGGTTTGTTCCCTCTGTGGGTGCAGGTGTTCCTGCCAGGCCTCCATCAATTCATGGCAGTGAGGCTTCTTCAGCTGTGCTGGGGTGTTCCCAGCAGACCAAGCTCCCAACTAACTTCTGGTATTTTTTTCCCATGGAGCTCAGAACATTGTCGTAAGGTCACTGTGCTCCTCTTATCCTTCTCATCATAATATATTGCTAAGAACAGTAATTTTACCTTGTAAATAGCTTGAAAATATAGTTTAGCCTTCTTTGGAATACCTGAGCAACTGAAGTCTCGAGAGTCGGTGGATGTTTCCAGGCTATTTCATGTAAGATTCACTTTTATATCCTGAAGATACCTCGACAGTATGCCCAATGTACAGAATATGCATCATTTTCCAGATTACAGCTACACTATTTTTTGTTCTGCTACATCTGCACCCATCCAGATTAAACCAGTGCTTCTACAGAGAAGCACACAAATAAATCACAGGGTTTAACCATTTTAGAATCAAGGAATGCCTCTGTTTTCTTGGGTACATTTGATATCAGCACTGCTGTAGGTCTCTGCAGTGGCTGAGTCCACCAATATGTCCTCAGGAGTGGGGACCCGTTTGGGTACCTGTTTGATACCACCAGGAGTTCTCTGGGCTTCTGCGTGTCGTGCTGTTCTGCTCAAAATAAATCAAATATTACACACAGAGCTTTCCAGTCTGCCTGTCCGAAAGAAAACATTTTGCAAGAGAAAATATAGTATTCCAGAGGCTTATCTCACTTGGTGGCAATTCTGGTTGTATAATTGAAAACCGAGTTGATCATTAGAGGTTCACAGAGACGCTGAATAGCCCAATGCTCAGTGGTCTCTGGCAGCCACGGCCAATTTACATTAAAGGCTTGATTCCTTCTACAGCCCACTTCTCAGCCCCTGGGAAATCTTGTTGCTTATTCCTCGTTTGCAAGGACGGACTAGTGTAAGGAAAAGCCTTGCCGAGCTCTGCTTTCCCAGCTGCCAGCAGTTCTGCCCGTGGTTTCGGCAGGCTGAGCCGCGATGTCGCTGCCCGTGTGCGTTTGCTGCAGATCTAACCCCAGCCACACTCGCACCTCTCTCCC